TGCAAGTCTGCACAGAAACAAATTTTACAAGATATCAAGATAGTACTGCACTATGTGGTACATACCTGAGATCAGTGCCTAGTTACCATAAGGGCATGGGGTGCAGAAAGATTTAAACATATTATTGAAAACCACTTTTCCACATCAAGCAAGAAATTACATTTATGTCAAATTTTTCAAAGTCTGTGCAATTGATTAGTCATGCAAATGTGCCATAAACCTCTATTTTCCTGTTCAGATGAGTGTTTGTATGCACAAGTCAGATAAGTGCATGCTCAAACTAGCAGCTGTATGCACAGTTAATCTGGTTTCATGTGTGCCTATACAGGGAATGGTGGGTGCAAAATTGGAGAGGATGATTAATATGAGAATCAAAAGGTGAGTAAGGAACTAGTTAAAGGGGAAACTACAATGAGGCATGCTGAAAAGAGCACTGTCAGGGTGGAAGGAGGTTATTGGTGGAATTCCTCAGGGACTGGTCTTGGGACCAATCTTACTTAATATTTTAATTAATGCCCTTGGCGCAAAAAGTGGAAGTGTGCTAATAAAATCTGTGGATGACACAAAGTTGGGAGGTATTGCCAATATGGAGGAGGACCGGAATATCATACAAGGAATTTTGGCGTAATAAAAATGGGATGGAATTTAATAGTGGAAGATCATGAACTTAGGGACTAACAAGAATGTTTGCTGTAAACTGCAGACTTATCAGTTGGAAGTGACAGAAGAGAAGACCTGGGTGTATTGGTTGATCACAGTATGACCATGAGCCCCCAATGTGATGTAGCTGTGAAAAAAGTCAATACAATCATGCATCAGGTGAGATGTTTCCAGTAGCTAGGAAGTGTTATTACCATTGCACAAGGCACCAGTGAGACCTCATCCAGATGAGGAATACTGTGTGCAATTCTGGTCTCCCATGTTTAAGAAAGACTAATTCAAACTGGAACAGATGCAGAGAAGGGCTACTAGGATGATCAGAGGAATGATCTTATGAGAGGAGACCTAAGGAGCTTGACTTGTTTAGCGTAACAAAATGAAGGCTGAGCGGAGATATAATTTCTCTCTATAAATATATCAGAGGGACAAACACCAGGGAGGGAGAGGAGTTATTTAAGTTAATGGCAACACTGGCACAAAAACAAATGGCTATAAACTGGCCAGCAGTGAGTTTAGGCTTCAAAGTAGGTGAAGGTTTCTAACCATTAGAGGAGAGAAATTCTGGAATACCTTCCCAAGGGGAGAAGTGGGGTCAAAAAACCTAATTTGTTTCAAGACTGAGCTTGATAAGTTTATGGAGTGGATGCTATAATGAGGTTGCAATGGCATATGGCCCATCTGTGACTGCTGTTAGCAAATATCTCCAATGGCTGGAAATGAGACACTAGATGAGAAGGGCTCTGAGTTACTACAGAGAATTATTTCCCAGGTGTCTAGCTGGTGGTTCTCACTCACACGCTCGGAGTCTAACTGATTTGCCATATTTGGGGTCAGGAAGGAATTTTTCTCCAGGTCAGACTGGCAGAGACCTTGGGGCACAGGAGCTTAATTTCTAACCTGCCGGGGGGTGTTCCCCCCCCCCCAGCCACAGCCAGGCCCTGCCCTCACTCCACCGCTTCCTCCAATGCCCCACCCCTGACCTGCTTCTTACTGCCTCCCCCCTCTTCCTAGGCCCAAAGTGGGGATGACCAGCCAGCTGTTTTCTTTCCATCTGTTTATCTAATCAAGGGTCTATATGAGCACCTCCGTACGTGAGCGCTTTCATGCCTACTGACCGAGTAAATGCTACACCTTTTTGCAGCAGCTCTAAGGATCGCTGGTGAGCAGCTGACCCCAGACTTCTCTGGGCTATCCTGTCTTGCACAGGAAAAATTGCTTGGAGAACTTCTTCTCTAGCTCCACTATATTCACCAGCATGCTTCAAAGATAAGCTAGTATGACATTCAAGGCTCCTAATATCACCACCAAAACCATTGTTCATTTTAGAGCTGAGGTTGCTCTCCTGTAGTTACTGAAAAACAAGGAACTTGCTAGTTAAAGCAATACTACAGTCCAGACTAGTTTCAAAATGTCTTATCAGCTCAATATCATAACACCCTAATGCACTCTCGTCCTCCTGAGATCCACAGCACACTGTTTTTCATTTCACACACTCAGACACACAACCTGAACTCCAAGCTCAGCAGGGTTAAGGTGTTTTATGAACAAATGTACCTGCAGTTGGAAGTCTGCAGTGTGTTATTACTGCCTAAGCTGATATGAATTCTGGCTCCCCATCTGTCCTCCATCCCCCTTTCCAGATCCACTTCCCAGCTAAAGTGTGCAGTGTTTCGACTGGCTGGCTATTCCAACAGGAGGCTGGTGATACGACCAGCCAATCCTTCAAGCTAGGTTTCTTCCTCTCATTCCAGTACATTCGCTTCCCCAACCTCAGACCTGATAAGGGTAGCCAGCAGGAGTCCCAATCTGATGGATTGACTGAGTTCCCTCAGTGTAGGGCTCCTCTCTTGACATTCAGTTGCCTGTTGGCAGAGAGGCCAGGCAACCAAAGAAGTACCTACCCTAGCTCAGCATCCAAGATGGAGATGTCTCCAATGCAAAGATGCAATCTATGCTTGGCAGGAAATTTGCCTGCAAACTCTCCCTGCCCCTCCATGCCTTCTGTTGCTGATAGTTGCTGGGAGATTGTAGGAGCAGGCAGGGAGAGGTGCAGGGAAATGTACCTGATAAGCGCAGGTTGTATCTCTGCAGTCAGAGTGGATGAGTAGCTGAAGAACGGCCCAGACCAGCTCTGAAGCACACTGGGAAGGGATAGGGAGTAAGTCTGGGGAGCCAGCCATGGGCTGGGAAGAAGGTCTCCCAGCTGCTGCCCAGTTCTCCTCACTGTTTTTGCAAGACCCAGGGCTTGCTGGGAGCCTGTCTGAGAAGCCAGAGGTGCTCATGGCTGGGCAGCATGGCTAAGGAGGCAGCACTGGATCATAGACATATGTGTTGGCTTTTCCTAGGGTTAATGAAAACAGTTCTTACGAGCAAGGGGAATATTTGCCAGCTGGCCTGATTGTTAACTGCTGTATCTGGGAGTGTTAGTAACAATTTTATGGAAAACACATTGCAGAAAATTCATTGGGCTTCTGAACTGAGGTAGATTTGGAGACTAAATTCAATCACTGGACAGTGAAATGGAGGGATTTAGTCTTGCTTTAAGGGCCTGATCCAAAATCTGTTGAAGTTAATGGGAGTCTTTCCACTGACTTCAGGTGCGTTGGTTTGGGCCCTAGGTCAGAAGTGCCACACAATCTGAACCGGGGGCATGTGCAAGAGGGGCAAGCAGGGGCACGACTCCCAAGTCAACAAAACCGAGGCACAGAACTCCATGGCAGGGAGAGTGAGCTCCTCCTGCCCCAGGCCGCGTGGGAGGTCTGGCTCCCACGGGGGAAGGAGGGGGAGCCAGCTCCTCCAGCCACCAGGGGAGAGCGAGCGCCACAGGCCCCAGGGTTATGGGGTGGAGGGGAGCCAGCACCGCAGGCCACGGGGGGCACAGAAAGTGCCCCTCCAAAAGTGGCCAAATTTTTATTTCTGTACATGCCCCAATCTTAACTATGGAGTCACTACTGATTCCTCCATAATAAATCAATAACTTTGTTCGTTAGGCCATTGTCCGTGTGTGCACTTGCACATACGTGTGCACCCCCTCCCATATGCACACTGGTCACATACCTTCACATAGACTATGGGTTGAAACAGTAACACGGATACTGTGTCAGAGTAGAATTAAAGTAATATTTTGGTTTTTAATGGTGCTTTAGGTTGGCTTTGCGACTTTGGTCATTTCTGGCTGTGTGGGCTTTTGAGTTTGCGGTGGGTTCCCTCCAGTTTTGTTATTTTTAAAAATATTTGGTTGTACAAAAGTAATTTGTCCACTTGGAAGCATACATAGACTATTCTGTTCAAGGCTAGATCCATTACAGCATTGATATTAACAGGACTAAGAAGGACTGTGTGCATGCACGTTTATGGATTTTCAAGAATTAACAATTTGGTTGTTGCATTTGACCTATTGTTTAAAACCTAAAGGGCTTAAAGACATTCACCTGTCGCTGCATGTTCAGCAAAATTTCATTTTGAAATGCAATCCTATTCTTCATTCAAATTCCTCCTGAGTGTATGTTTCTTTCACTTAGCCTGTCAGCATTAATTTACCAATGACACAAGTGTGATTAGAAAACAAAAACATAATGTTTGTGGTATAAAGATATTTGTAGTGATGAGGTCAGGCCACAAGTTATGTGGGTCATAATGAACAAATACCAGTAAAATCCTTACACCACAACACACGTCATATATTTTCTTTACAACATACATTTTACATCAAAATGATCGCAGAAATATTTTAGAGAGTTCTGATACTATGTGAAACCAGGCTGGCTTGGCTCTGCACAAGCCTCAGAGGGGGAGGAAAATAATCATCTCTATGTTCTAAATTTAGGAAAAAACCCCCCAAAATAAATACATATGCTAAAAATGGTCTCAAATGGTGTTTTATAATTAAGAGCTGCATTGTTTTAAGACCTGATATCTCACTAGGATAAAAAAAAAGAGAATTGTGCAGCACATACCAGCTCTCCAATGGTATAAAGAACCAATTTTTATCCTTAATGGTTCTCAAGTTATTGCACCTTGAACCAAAACTGAGTGTTGTACTTCAGAGCAGAGTAGTCTAAATTTGGAGAAAATTCCACATTTGGGAAGGAAGGTAGAAGGGAAATGTTTTTGGCTGGCTGTATTTTTTTTAAAAATGGAGTCTGTTTTAAAGCTGATCAGAGACGATATCTTTACAGGTGAGAAAAGAACTAATTGACTCACTAGTTATCAGGTCTTCACTTGTGACTGAATGCCATAAAGAACTAAGTTGTCAAATATTCCCCTTCAGTGCAATTTGAACATATAATGAAGAAACCAGCACATCCATTTGCTCTAAAGCTTATTTTCTGTCTCCACAGGGAAGCAATCAGCCGTGTTTGTGAAGCAGTACCTGGAGCCAAAGCAGCCTTCAAAAAAAGAAAGGTATTTTTCTTTCTTTCTTGTCAGAGACCCATATTTCCTTAGGTCAGCATAGTGGAAACCAGACACAGTGGGCAGGTGTGTTTTAAGCCAGCCTGAGAACTGCAGGTGCAGAATCTTCCAAAGTCTTGTCTGTGTGCAGCCACTGTTGATTGCACTTACTGCCTTTCCAGTCAGCATCGTTCATAGGAGTTCAAAGTAAGGGAGTGTAAAGATACTCCTTCCTCCCCTACATGGGATATCCACATCATGGCGAGTAGCATAGCTGGGTAGGGAAGTGGCTGGGGAGTGGGTGAAGTCTTGGCTCTGCCCCCACGTTACTGGCCACAGTAAAGGGGGAAGTACATTGTGCGAGGTTTCCAGCTACACAAACTGTTGCCCTCCTGGAGCAAGGAGACTGTGACTCTGAGTGCCAGTACGATCCCGGCTCTACCTCTGGAGCAGCACAACTATGAACTGCCCCAACTCAGGCTTGTGGTAAAGCCAAGTTTAGCTCTTAGGAAGTCTAGTTTGCAGTGACATGAGCTTGTATCTAAAATGGATAGCTGTTGTACTACCAACAGAAATAGAATGTATGAGGGAGGGTTCAGAACAAGAACCCACACACCGTCTTTGCTGAATGTAGCTTTTTCTTTTAGCTGAGAGCCATGTAATACATATTTAGCTCTCATGGTCACAAGGGGGTACTGTATTTAACTCCCAGTGAGACATATGCAAACACTCAAACAACAAATACCACAGTGACAGTGGAATCTGCTTCAGAACAGATTTGTTTTTTCAAAGAATTTCTTCCATATTCAGCCTTTTTAATGGGGGCTTTTAATCAGGAAGTAAAAGAAAGGCAAATGTCTTTTTTTCTTGAAAAACAAAATGCCACAAAATAACACTGGGAAAATGGATGAAAGGAAGTTCCTAGTGCCAAAGAGCCATCTTGCTGAATCAGGGTGTCTAAGAACAGTGTCTCTTGTTTAAATATTAGAATCCGAATACTCAGGTACATCAGTCTTGAAAAATTGGACAGAGATTTGGTTGTGGAAAGCAAAATATATCAACGAGTGTAAATTGTCCCACAGTAATTGAGAATTTAGGGTAGGTTGTCCATTTAGAAAATACAATCCATGAGGAAAGTATTTGTTACTTTACTGACTGTGCTTCTCATCTGCACTCCGGCTTATCCCTCCTGGTATTGTCGATGTCCGGTGATGTTCTATTTAGATGTCCCTCCACCACCTGATGGCGTCCAACACCATTAGTTGCCGCCTCAGCCGAGCGTAGCGTTGACTGATTTTGCATTTTCTCAGCACTCGCTCATACTACTTTTAAAATAAACCAACCCTTTGGGAAGGGAAATGGTGCTGGTAAATCTTAACAACAGCAACAAAAAACACATGAACTTTTGCAGGTCTGTGCTCCACCCTGTCTTCATGGTGACTCTAATATTTTTGTCAGTTTCCTCTCATGTATCTTAATTTACATGGCTAGGGCAAATTCTCGTCTCTAGTCTGTAATATGGATTTATTACATATTAATAAAAAAATTCTCCTATGTGAAGTACACTGGCTTAGTGTATGCAGTTATATCTCCTTCTATCGCTAATGAGAATAAGACTCTGCTTCTTACTTATAGATAACAAAGTTATTCCTTCATCTCAAGTAGTAAGAATATGTGCTTTTGGTGTTGCAAGTCCAGGGTTTGATCCCCACTGACTATTGTACAGTAATAACGTTTTGTAACCTATGGTTTGTTGCTATATTCCACACTTTAGCTTTAACCATTTTGTTAATCATGTTATGAGGAATGACCTACAGAGAAAAGTAGCTGCCCAAATGAAGTGATCACTAGTGTAGAGCAAAAGTTGTCATTCTTGAATAGCAGCCCTTAAGATGTCAGCTGAGCCTGCATGAAGTGTGTCATGTACCCCTTGTACAGGGGAGGTTGGAGGGCTGCTATTAGCAAGTCGGGCTCCTCTACTGGATATAGACTGGCTACAGAGCTTCCTTCTCAGAGGTACACCAGATATGAACCTTCCATAAAGATCCTTTAATGAACTGCCAGGAGTGGCTGAGGTTAGCTTAAATGGGATTTGTTACACACAGTGTCCCCATGTGGCTGAACAGTATAATACAGCAGCAAAGAGTCCTGTGGCACCTTATAGACTAACAGACGTATTGGAGCATAAGCTTTCGTATTGGAGCATAAGTGGGTGAATACCCACTTCGTCAGATGCATGCATGCATAACAGTGAGTTGTTATTGCAAATCAACTAAAATGCATTCCATTACTTCACAGCCACCAAGCAAAGTTCTCTCTAGCATCTTGGGAAAGAGCAATCTTCAGTTTGCAGGAATGAACATAACTCTGAATATATCCACCACCAGCTTAAATCTAATGACTCCTGATTCAAAGCAGGTTTGTGTATAAAAATCCCTAATAAGTCCATGGATGAAGAGTATACCATGTAAGGTTTGCTACTTGATAAAATGCTCCTGTGCTTAAAGTATTATTTCTTTATCAAATAAAAAAGAAATGAAAATATGAAGTGCAATAGATTAATTAGTTTGTTTACACATTTAACATAGATTGGTGAAAATAGTGTTCTCACAGTAATTCTGTCATTACCTCTCAAAAGGTTCACTTTACAATGTGAAATGGCCTTTTCTGGCAGAAAAAGGTCCAGTTCCAAACTCTGGCTGTGTTTGGTTCTGACCCATCTACAGAGATGAATGCCTATTCCCAGTGGTTTTTCTTTCTTTTTCTTATATTGTTTAGAGGGCATTCTATTCATAAGGTGATGTTAAAAATCCTGCTTTGGGGGTTTTGCACTTCAGTGAAATGTCTGCCTTTCAGAAGAAGGAAGCCTTGTCAACCAATCACTTTATTCTTCTCCTTTGCGCTGAAGGTATATACTGACTTTGGGGAATCACTGCAGTGGGTTGTGAATGATGTATGAGATGAGAAAAAATCTTGCTTGCTATGCATATAGAGAAAGCTGATAGTGTTGCATAATCACTGCTGTGCTGTTTGCTGTGAGCTACGTACCTAGATGTGCCTAGATACAGCGAGGGGAAAAAACTTGCTGTGCCACAAGATAAAAAATAAACTAGAAACACACACACCTGAAAGGTTTCTTACTTATTTGTCTGTTCCCCACCCTCTTCATATAAGATGCTGTCGTCTTCTACAGTACTAACTCAAGCACTGTAATAGCAGCACTATGGCATGCTGTAGTGTTTTGGACCATTATTAAAGAATCTGACAGTACTTTTTATAAGGGCATTTGTCCCAGCTTTCACTACTGGCACAGGGAGCCTTCCCTTAGTATGACCCATCTGCAAAACATACAAAAAACTGAAGGCATTTTAAAAGTAAGAAGTCATTTTAAATAAAGGGCCAGAGCCTCAGCTCTGGGTAAAGCAGCAGAGATTGGGGGATGTCAATGGAGCTCTGCTGATTCACATCAGCCCCAAACGTTTTGGCTTCTCTCCACAATATAGTCTCGTTAACTGGAACTAGAAGAGATGGCTGATATCATATGTATCTATATTCATTACACTGGCTATGATGATGGAGGGCTGTGAAACGAAGGGGTCTTTGACAAACCAGCACTCCGGTGGAGGTCTCCTTCATTTCTGGTTTATACTAGGAGTGTTGGATTACCCCAGAGTGCATTCCTGGAACAGATAAAAATGTGGTCTGCTTTCTGTGGCATACCTTTCAGAATACTGAAAACAAGGCTGGCCAAATGGCTTTGTGATTAGTTCTTTATGGTGCTATCCAAGAAAGACAGTCTTAATTCTTGTTCCTCATCTCTTGTTCCTGGATCAGCTTTGGACTGGAAACCATGGAAAAACAGCATTCTTAGTTTGGAGTAGGAAGGTAAGGGACCAATTGAGTTGCTCCATTGAGTTGACTATGTTAGTTAAGAGTGACACTGAGACATGGAGTGAATTACTGTTCAGTCCTCCTGGTACAAAGACCACCATGATGCAGGTCTTTGAGTGGTAGTGGGGAGAGAAACCCTCCTTTGGGGATAAAGAGGAATCCAATCCTCCTTTGAGAATAAAAAAAATTAAAGATCTATTTAAAGGTTACAGTTGGGTGAGCAGCAGGGGCTAAAAGTATTATTAAGGCAGCATGCCTGCGATGGAGGAAACACTTCATCTTATTCTCTAGTGACCCTTTCTAACTCAATGAAGGAACTCCAAGAGACACTCACATTCAGCCTCAAGAGGACAGGTACAGGTCTTTCAGGTGCAAGGGAAAAAGAGGAAAGGAAAATGAGTTGGCTCAGGGAATGCTTCTCTCTATGACTCCAACTCTCTTTCCACTGCTCTGACAGTTAACTCCATTGAGCTAGAGAGTCTATCTGGTGTCCACACTGTTCAAATCCACAGGAGGTTATGGAAGCCCCTAACATTTGCCTTTTATAGCCATGCAGGCTGTGGCAGCTATGTATTTTGGGTGAAGTGTACCTTTTTGCTATATTCATCACCACAGGTGACAAAAACTCACTTCAACAGATTAAAGTTTCTCCAAAATATCTTTAGGAAATTATATTTTCAGATAAGATACTGTATGGCAGGGCTATATAATTTACTTGAATGCTGGGCACATTTTTATGTTCATTCATTGCTATTCTAAAATGTCATTGTCCTTCAACTTAAGGAAAACCTGAATTAGGGATATCCAATATTCTTGAGCTTGTTTACATCAGCAGCATATTCTCTGTGACTAACTCCTCATAGACGAAAGGCAAGAATTAATTCTGATCTTGTTTTCGGCTTTTACTTCACTCTCACAAAAAAAAAAAAAAAAAAAGAAAACCAAAGGGGGTAATCTGCAAAAGAGAATACTGGCTCATACTTTTGGTCTGACTCATACTTTTGTTTTTTTTCTGATCCAAACAGATAATAGCAAATCATCATATGCAGTCTATTTCCTTTGCCTCTGGAGGTGATCCGGTAAGCATTTCTTTAGTCATTTTCTTCCATACATATTGCTATAGGAGGACCTTATACCAGGATTTATCTCATGTCTTACTCAAAGGAAAATATAAGCATGATAGCTTCTGTTTCTTATTTCATAAGCTCTTCTTGACCGTTGCCATCAAGCTCTTTTTGAGGGAAACCACTGACAGGCAGTCACAAATCCTCCTCTGTGAATGAGTGTCAGGAAAAGTGTCAAAGGGCCTGGAGCATTTCATATAAATCTTATAAATCCTGTAAGTAGGGCCCCGTGGTTTTCAAAGGAAGTGCAGTATTTTCATATGGATATCCTTTCACTTTTCATCTGGATTGTTATCCATTTTGCCCTTCCTGCAGAAAAGGACTGAGGATGCGGCTGTCTTTCTAGCATGGTAGCCCCAGGTAATTTTTCTTTCCTTTCTTTTCCCGCAACTCTATCTTATGAAAATGGAGAGCCAAATACTGCCCTCAGATATGTCCATTCCACTCATATGTTTGAGGAGAGGATGTGGCTTTTAGGAGAAGCCCAGTTCTGCATTTTTATACTTGCCATGTTTAGTTTTGCTCTCAGGTGCCTCTGTGCAACTCACATTCAATTCATGCATATCAGAGGGCAGATCTGGGGTTTTTTACTTATCTACATATTTGTTTCAGCTGTCCTCCCAATTTCATACTAAATACGCTTCAGAATATGTCCTATACATGAAGAATTGAAAGAATCTCAAAATAGTAAAAGTCCTTCCTGAGTCTTGAAAGCCTTTACTCTAGATTGATCAACCCAGTCCCTGTAGCCAGGGATAGGTCCACTTACATGGCACATATGGCCCTCTCTACGAACTAACTCTCCCACCTCAACTGCAAGATGAGTTAACTGCACCAGCTCTTCAGGGCAAAATATCCTTGACATGTTTGCAATCTAACTGTTATCCATATGCTAAATGGGTCAAATTCATCCATGATGTAACTCTGCTAAACTCAATGGGGATACAGCAGGGATGTATTTGGGCCATTGTAAAATAGTAATTCTGGGAGTAAAAAATTGATCAACAGCACTTCTGAAATACCACAGATTGCAACAGATGCTGGAAATGAACAATTCTTGCAGCGGGCAGAGGACTGAGTACAGTTGCCTGCCTCCATAAGAAAGTTCTTTGCCACTCCATCTGCCATCCCACATGCTAAGTCCTAGAAACACCACCACCCATTGGCGAGTGATTTACCAGGTGACAGCATTACCACCAGCAGCAGTAAGAGATTTGAATTGAAATAAATAAGGTCTATCAAATGTTTTAGTGAGATGAAAGTCATGCCACTGAGTCACTGAGAAATCAAATCTTACCAAGTACAGGAGCCAACAAGAGCTGGTGAAACTGTAAAGTAGCACAACAAGACCACTATATGATGATCTCATCCTGGGGGTGGAGAGGAGGGTAGGTGTGAGCATCCTTTGACATTCAGCAGGTTTGTCACAGTAGACACCTCGTTGGGAGAACTTTAAATAAAAGAAAGAGCTTGCTCATGTGGTTCCTGTCTCTCAGAACTAAACTTAATTACTGCTTGATACACCAAACGTACCAAACCAGCCTAGCATATATCGCAACATAAATGTGTTTTCTTTCCTCTTCAGGGATGAAATCCATCACCACCCGCACCAGTCATTCCCCATACATCAGGTCACTGGGAGTATTAGATATGCATGAACAGAGAGACAGGGCTATTCTGTTCTGTTCTATACACCTTCTTTTACTACCTTCATCACCGTGGTATCTGAGTGCACTCCAGTAGTGCATTAAGTGATGTGAGTGTCACAGTTTAGGGCAATTGCACCGGTATTCCCCCATGGTGGCCCCTTGAGGGCACTCACTCTAAACTCTCAGCTCCTCAGCCATCACCTCTCTTGGGAAGAGACCCACATCTCTCTCCCTCCTGACAGTGATTATTGCTGGCTGCACAGTTCCCTGCCTACACTGTGATATTTCTAAGCAAGCACATTTATTCTTAAGGTGGAAGCATTACAGAGAAAACTTTAAAATAACAAAAGAACCTACACACATTCTAATAAGTTTGCCAGAGATCACCCCTCCTAACTCCTCATGGCTCTGTTAAGAGTCAGTGCTTCAAACCCCACAATGGAGCTTTTCTGTGGTCACAAATTCATAACAGCCTTAGCTCAGAACTACCACCTCCACAAGCAGGTTAGTCTTTCCTGTATGCAGCTTGGGCCTTTGATCTTGAGACTCCAAGAACAGGTAATCTGCAGATAATGGCCCCTCTCCTCAGGGTGGAACTTCAAAAGACTGGTTTTTTGTATAACTGGAGGTGGGGAATTTGCATTCATCTCCCCTTAGAGATTCCACAGGTAAATCACTTGACAATGTTTGTCCCCAAAAGCCCATTCTTACACATTGTTCAGCAGAGTTCTTTGAAGTTCATAACACTTCCCAAGGTTCACATCATATCTCCCCCCCTAGAGCGGTTACATACAATCCCGGCCCACGGTAATACATAACGTTTGCATTTAATACAGTGGACTCAAAAGACGCTTAAACTTAATCCATTAAGGTTTTTTTCAAGGATATTGTAGGAAATTGCCATATCTGTCACTGTGACTAACATCTGCCACAAGTGGTTTGTTCTTGCTCTCATCCTCTCCCCAGGAGAAGAACTGTGTATGCAATATAATGTTTTGTTTTGGTAGGCGAAGTTGAAGAAGTGTGACTTGCATTTGGAGTGGAAGGTGTTGAAGTCTGTGAGATCTTTACTTCTGTGGGATTTTGTTCCACAGTCTCAGACTGGCCCTCAAGAAGGCTCTGTCATACAGACAACCTTCACTCTTGTGGTGGGAAGTTCCATTGTTCCTGAGGACTGGAGTTGTCAACTATGGTCTTCATGCCAGAGCTTCAGGCATGGGTGGTGGGTGAACATGCTGTTGGGGGAGGCTAGCCTCCAGCCCCTCCCCCTCCCTTTTTGCTCCCTCTCCCCCACCGGAGCCAGGAGCACCCCCTCTGTGGTTGACAACCCCTCGTGCTCTGCCAGCCCCAGCATGCTGGGTGGACAGGCGGTGCAGATGGAGAGTCCACAGACCCAGCGCACCAGGCGGCCAGACTGCGTGGTCAGAGTGCCCTCAGCCCCGGAGTGTCCCCGGCCCCAGCTCCAGCACTGGACAGGTGGGCGGCAAGGCCAGAGCAGCCCCAGCACACCCGGCATGTGAGCAGCAGAGCCGGAGCGCCCCTAGCCCCAGTGCCCCCAGCTCCGGGCCTTGTGCACACCGGCCCCAGCCTCTCAGCCACAAAAGAGTGGGAAGGGAACTGGAAGCAGGCAGGAGGGAGCTTCAGGGTGGAGCGTGGGTGGGGCCACACAAGGCTGTTTGGGGAGGCACAACCTTCCCCTGTCTACGTTACTTGCTGCCCATGGCTTCAGGCAATCTTTTAGATATGCTGGGCCCAAGCCATTGAGTATCTTGGACAAGACCCTGATTCTTTTGTCAATCTGGGCCTCATCCAAAGCCCACTGATGTCAATGTAAGTTTTTTAATTGATTTCAAAGGGCTTTGGAAGAGGTCCTTGCACTAGTGTAAATTAAGGGCAATGGTTTGGAAGTCAGTGGAGTCACACTAGTGTGAAACCAGAGTGAGATCAGAACCAATCCTGTAAATGTTTTTGCAATAAAACAACAGTTGCTTTTGCACATGCTTGTCAGGTGTCTGAGTGGCAGGTGTTCAAACAGGATATTAATACGGTGCTCAACAGGGCATAGGTAGGCTCTGTCCATGTTAAAATTGAACAGATGCCAGCATTAGCTATGCTTAAGGGCAAGATGGAAGAGCTTTTTAAAAAGGAATTTGCTTACCTGGCCAGCATTCCCTAGCCTTATTTATCAGTTAAAGGTAGTCACAAAACATAAAAATGTAGCCTGGAAGACATGTGAAATAAAAATTTATTTTTCCTTATTCCCGTTTTATTTGCATACTTGTGTTAGGTTTGCCTGAGAGTTAGTCTGTAGCATGGTTTTATGTCATGGGTAAACTCTCATATAAGAAAGGACTGCAAAAACTGTCCACACTGGTCAGGAAAACCATGCTGGAAGCCTGCTACAGACTAGCATGCTTAAACATGGATATTGATGGCATCGTGTTAACTATATTGTGAACATGGTCTTCGGCGTGATTCCATACAGACGATGTACTCAGTCATATTGCTGTGTGTAAAATGGTGGGTTAGCTATCTGTCCGACCCTCACCACCAGGCTATCACTTCATGGGAAATACTTATGTGATATGCTCTGCTTTTTTGTTACAGCGTAAGAGCAAATTAATATATTCATTCATAATGAATATATGAATTTGCTTTTGCACTGTAACAAAAGAGCAGAGCATATCATATATATATATATATGTCTCCATCTTTTACAGGATACAACAGACTATGTTGCATATGTAGCTAAGGACCCTGTTAATCGCAGAGGTAAGGTATTTTTTATATTTGGTGCCTTCCATTTAAAAATATAAATTCATGTTTTCATTTTATTGGATTTTTCCAGAAAAAGTAAATGCAACACAAAAAAAGTTGACATTAGGGATGATCACTGGAACAATCAGCACAGCAATAATCAGCAGCCACACATGTTACTCCAGCAGATTTTTTGCCATGATTAATATATTTCAAATCATGTGGATGCTCCTCATGCCTGGACTGGACCTTCCTAGCGTCTTTGCTGAATGTTGTGAGGAAGGAGATCATAACCCTCTTTGTCTCTGATCTTGTATTCAAGCTGTTACCTAGTTCTCCTTCTACTTTCCCTGAGATCAGACATTGGTTTCTCTCTAAGGCACCTGTTAGTGAGTGCCTCCAACAATCAGGATTTATGATCCAGTTATGATTCTCATACATAAAAGCAAATTATAGAAAGAGAGCGAAGAAATCATAATCTAGAAGGATAGGTACAAAAGGCTCCCATCTGCTTGTATTACAGAAAGCTTTGTGAGGTCTTAAGTTTAAGTTACAAAATATTATATAATATATTAATAATACATAGATTCTCAGGTAGTTTAAGGCCAGAAGGACCATTAGATCATCTAATCTGTCTTCCTGCATATCACAGGTGACTAAACTTCACTCAGTTACCCCTGTGTAAGTCCAGTAACTTGTGCTTGGCTATAGAATATCTTTCAGAAAAGCATCCAGCCTAGATTTGAAGACATCAGGAGATGGAGAATCCTCTACTTTCCAAGTTCCCAGGGTAGTTTGATCCAGTTGTTAATCACCCTCATTATTTAAAATATATGCCTAATTTCTAATTTGAATTTCTCTCGCTTCAGTTTCCAGTCATTGGTCCTTGTTCTGCCTTTCTCCACTAGATTAAAGAGCCCTTTACAGCTGGGCATTTTCTCCCCATGAAGGTACTTAATAACTGTAATCAAGTCACCTCTCAATCTTCTTTTTGATAAACTAAACAGACTGAACTCTGTAAGTCTCTCACTTTCAGGCATTTTCTCCAGCTCTCAAATCATTTTGTGGCTCTTTTCTACACTCTCTGCAATTTTTCAATAATCTTTTTAAAATGTAGACATTAGAACTTGACACTGAATTCCAGTATTGGCTTCACCAATACCATGTACATGTGTAAAACCACCTCCTCGCTACTCCTTCTATTATACATCTGTAATGATGCGGTCTCACCTCAAGAGTGCCCCCTTGTGTCAGGAGGCAATATAGCAGGAGTTTTCATATCCAGCATCCCCTTCAGGCAATCACCACCCAGCTCTCTGGCTGAGAAGCAGCTAGTCCAAACCCATTCTAGGGTAACAAAATATCCAAGCGGAGTCCAAAGTATCCAGCTATCTTCTGGGTCCTGTGCTCCAGTGGTTTCACTGCCTTTCCCCAGCTCTGGTGTCAAGTCCTGTCCTAAGTCTTCCTGAGGCCTCTAGCTTCCAACAGCCTCTGTCAGGTGGAGTGAATGTGCCTAACTGGTCTTTAATCTTTTCTTGCCCGTGATGGGGTTCACCCCCTCACAATATCCAATTGACACACCTTTGCTTTAGGAGCTCATGTTCAGGTGTTTGCCCACTGTGACCCTTAAATCCTTTTTTGAATCACGTCTTCCCAGGTTACAATCCCCCATTCTGTAGGTATGACTTGCATTCCTTGATTCTAGATGTATAGCTTTGCATTTGGCTGTACTGAAAGACATGTTGTTTGAATTGGACCCAGTTTAACAAGTGATCTAGAGCGCTCTGTATGACTGTTCTGTTCTCCTTATTTACCACTCCCCCAGTCTTTGTGTCACCCACAAAATTTATCAGCAGTGATTTTATATGTACTTCTACATCACTGATGAAAATGTTTTTTGTTATTTAAAGTAGCACTCACAGCATGCTCCACATTATACACACATATAAGAAGACTTATTCTTTCCCTACAAAGATTAAATGGTACTTTTCCTCTCACAGCCTAATGCTCTCGCTCTTGTAGCATAGCGGTTGTCTGTCTTCCAGTCACCCAGTCTATAACAAACCCTAAAGAAATATCTCTGTGTGAGCCAAACTTCTCGTTCCTTTTATAAGAAACCTAAGGGTGTGATCCAACTTAGCAACTTAGATGCTTAAACTCCAGAGTTAGGTGCCTATGTCTCCATGCCCGTGATTCATGAAACTCCTGCTTGGCTGCCACCTAACCCTGTGGGTGCCTCAACTCACTCGTCACTTAACTTTCTGCTGTAAAAGTTCCCTAGGCGCCCAAGTATTAGACCCTGGGGCATATGCACTGCTGCCTCCCTTTAGGTACCCAGGTACCTATACTGCGTAAGCCCCAAAGTGATTCATGAATCAGGGGAAGACAGGCATTCAGCTGCCTAAGTCCCATGCAAAGCCTGACCTAGATTGCCCACCTCCAGGTGAGTGCTCAATCAGTGGGCTACACGTTGTAAGTTGTAAGTAAAGTGGGCTGCCCCCTTTTCCAGCCATTTTGTATGGAGCAAGGCAGGCACCTAGCTCATTACCACAACACCTCTTTATCACTGACTCCAGGTGGCTGGTACCTGTTTGTGGATCCCTAGTGGAGATAGGCACCTACCTTTGAGAGAGGGGTGGGGCTTAGCACACATCCCTGTTGTCAGTATCACCCATTGACTAGCATAGGTGGCTTCCTACCTAGCATAATGGTTTTTGTATTCCCATTCTTAGGCTCCTATCTCTCCCTATTCATTGTATAGGGAGCCCAAGGGCCTAACTTGGCTTTGTGGATCACAGTGTTATTCCTGTGATTTTCTAGGTACCTAAAAATTAAGCACTGCGATGCTGAGGGTTGCAACACCTAAGTCCCTTTGTGGATCTTGCCTCTACTTCTCACCTGCCCAGCAACCATCCGTGTATCCAAGGAGACAGTTTATCCATTACGTTATTTTTAAAATGACTTAAGTTTCTTTTCAGCTCCCAAATTGTTTAGCAGCAGGCAACATATTCTCTTTAAATACCCACTTCCACTATTGCATGCATACATACTATAGTCCTTTGTTCAGCTTCGCTTCTTTCAGTCCACACGTTTGGAGATGTCTGCACAATGATGCCGAATGCCTAACACAGCTGTTCGTATGGTTTATTCATGTATGGCAAATTCACTTCATAAGCCAGTGGCCTCAGTCTCAGTGTTTATGCAGGTGAAGTGTGCTGGGCTGGGGGAAAAATCCATCTGCAACCCAGGGCCAGGAACATTTGCCCTGCATGACATCACACAACTCTGTGGGCAGGAATAGCAGCCACTGTATCTGCGTAATTGCAGATCTCATGATGTCCTACCCTGGTCTATGCACAAATTCTTCCTGCATGCCAGCCTGTGTGGGGCCACTGTGTAGATGCTCTTCAAGTGCTGTGTGACTGTTACTAACATAATTGTACAACCACACACAAATGTCAGCATCATTCCTAATTTGTATTGCATTAGTCCCTAGAGGCTCCAATCCCCTTGTGGTAGGCACTGGACATGCAATTGTCTACATTGCAATGAGGAAGTGTGATTGCAGCATGTGTAGGCATACTCAAGCCACCTTTGATCCAGCTATATTTCAGGCACAGATTCGTATTGCTCCGTGGAAAGGGAGTGGGTTTCTCGGCCCCAGCAAGTGTAGAGGTGGTATAACCAGTCTCCCTCCACACAGTTCCAGAGTGTCAGCCTGGAAGAGTGCATAGAGGGGATCAGTGTCGAGCTTCTGTATTGGCTGTATGCCACCCAGGGATTTCCCAGCTAGCCAGTTACGCCAATACACCACACCTTTGTGTCACTGGAGCCATAGCAGGGCCAAAGATCTGGTTGGTATCCTGCATCTGAATACCTCCCTCACGCCTCATTTTGGGGAAGTTCAGAACCCCCAGTTGGAAACTTTATCGCACAGGCACACATCAAGATAAGTAGATTAGAAAATCAACTAAGATGGCGATAAAATTATGGAAAACAGATTAAAGAGAAATAAAGGTAAATTTAATTTGGAATGATCTGAAAATGTTCTCTAGTGTCTATCTCCTTATTTTAATAGAAAGCTCAGAATTCTCCTGTAACTTGCTGCACACAGTTACAGTCAGGTGATAATGAATGACATTCATTAAGGTTTCTCTTCTTGAAGGAGCTTTTCAAATTATGGGCCCTGATTCTGGTCTCACTTACACCAGTTTTACACTGTTGTACGATAATTCCATTGGATTGGAGTGGAATCACTCCTGATTTCAGATGGTGTGAGTACGAGGAGTATCAAGCCAATGTCTTAAGTTAGCTGTAGCTAATTGCTATTTTTGTTCATTCAGATTTTAATAAAATCTATACATCATGAAAAGAACAACTGTTCTTGGCCTGGAGGTCCTTGTGCCATTCATTACTGCATCACAATGAAGACTGTATAAATAATGGTGTGTAAATGTCAGCATCTCTCCTTCTTTCCTCTAGCGTGCCATATACTGGAATGCTGTGATGACCTGGCCCAGGATATTATCAGCACCATAGGGCAAGCTTTTGAACTACGATTTAAGCAATATTTACGGTGTCCCTCTAATATACCTGCTCTCCATGATAGGTGAGTAACATTGCAGTAGAATCTTTTCTAGTTCTGCAGTTTCCTTCACCAGCTGGTAAAGTGAGGGGTGAATCTATGGCTGTGCTGTGGATGAAACTGTCTTAGAAGAACTGGATTTTAAACACACTTTAAAACAGGTTCTGATAAATGAGTGAAACATGGTTTGCCTGATCAATGTGGATTGGCCACAATCATTTTAAAATCACGTTTAAACATGGCCTCTAGGCTAAACGGTTTTAAAATTATAACGTCCTGCCCATACTGGCTAGTCAAACGCTTGTTAGAGATAGAGACAGGCGGCCAGATTCAGAGGTGATGTATGCTATAGGAGGTATATGGCACATCGCTGAGTGAAACTAAGGGACACTAAATTGGTATAATTTACATAATGAGTGACCAGAACAAGTTGTAAATTACACCAGCTAAGAGTCATCTATTTGGCCCCACGTCAAAGCACTATTTTAAGCACGGGTTTTAAATGGTTATGCTCTGGCCCATATCCATACTGAAGGTCTTTAAGCCCTATTAGCCTAAATCTGTTTAAAATTTGTTTTTAAATACAGCTTTATACCCAGTGTTGATGGAGCCTTGAAGTAATGCAAATGGAGGAACTTCCCAGGGAGGTTGGAATCTATCCTGCAGGGTTTCTTTGTAAAGTTATGAATGTTCATGACAGATTTTGGTCTGCTCATTTTAGAGATTTTTCTTTTTTCTGCAAGTCATAAAGATCATCATAACCCTTATTTAAAGTCAAAGAAACAGGCTTTCTAAAAACACATAAATAGAGGTTAGGCTGCCCCTCCCATGAAAAAAGTGCACATTGAAGGGCAGAGTGGGAGGAAACCCTATGTGAGATTGTTCTAAAAGGGGAACTGGGTTTACCCCCTACCAAATTAGCCTATGGTTCTGCCTTCATACTGATTTTCACATCTCTTTCCCCCACCTCAGTCTCTGTCTACCGTAACATTTTTAGAAACTTTCCCACCAATGCTAGCACCATATCAGCTCCCTTGGTGTGAGCAACATTTTGGTTGGATGTATTCCTGAAGGTTTCATCACATGACATAATCTTTAATGAAAGATTAATCTTTAATTCCGGGAGACTCCAGGACAATCTTGGAGTTTTGGCAACCCTACGCATAGTGAGTGTGGGTTGCTACCATTCTGATTTGGAAGAATTTTACCTTCCCTTTGCACTGATGTAAATGATAGCTTGATGTGCAGTGAAACAGAAAATCAGGCCTATTGAATTCACCAAAGTCATTCCTGATTCACACCAGGGTTATTTAGATCAGAATTAGGCCCCAAGACATTATGAAGGATCCTTTTTTTTTTATCATCAGTTAATCAATCAATCACACAAATAATACTACAAATAACATGGTAAATGTAACTAGGAAAGGTGTTGTAAAGAAGTTTTTAATGGATGTCATTAATAGGGATATATATATAGGACCTGATCCAAAGCTCGCTGAAGTCAATGAGAAGGCTCCCATCAACTTCAGTGGGCTTTGGATCAGCCTCATTACAGGGATGGAGTGCTGCTTGGTTCATCCTATTTTACTTTGTAAATGTCACTTAATTGTCAAAGGGCTGGGTAGTATATGGCCCATGTAGCTAGTACTACAGTGCTTCGAGTGCTGCAAGATGAATAACGTAATCCCTTTCTACAGGATGCAGAGTTTTGATGAACCTTGGATGGAGGAAAATGGAGAGCCAGCAGAACATCCCTATTACAACAGCATTCCTAATAAAATGCCTCCTACTGGTGGCTTTATTGATGCTAGATTCAAAACTAGGATCCCAAATGCCGCAGATACTGCTCAGGTCAGTGAAATGTTACCTGCTTAGCTTTCTTATTCAATCAAAAATTTGAAAGCAGCATTTTATTTCCAGATCAATGCACTGACAATATTAAATACCTTGTAGCTTTTCATATATAACTGAATTGTTCTGTGGCAACTTATTTATTATTGCTTCATGTTCATTCATGTATTTAAATAAGAAATGAAACATGACTCTGTATTGTTTATTATTAAATTCTGGCTTGTCCTGCAATGGTTGTGCTGGGGGAGAAGAGGCTAAAGATGACCTCTTACCTATCACACCTGCTCAGTAGACAGGTAAAATCATAGGCTTCCAGATCACAGAATGCTAGGTGGGAGGCCAACATTTATTGTTCTCAGTAGGACATGGCTAAGTAACTAGGGAGAAATTATAAGGTCCCCACTCCCTGTTAATACACAGAAGGAAAGATAGTGTACACTGTTTCCTTTTGGACCAGCCCTATGGAGCTTTCTGAAAGCCCTATTGTACTATAGATCATTTTCCCTCTTTCTCTGGCCCCATTAACATTTAATTATTCAATTATATAATTTCAGTGGAACAACTTCACTAAGAGCTCCTCATCAGGATATGCCCTGCTCAATGGTTAGAGGAACTCACCTAAGAAGTGGCAAATCCCTGTTCAAATCCCTTCTCTTCATCAGGCAGAGGTGACTTGAACCAGGGGTCTCCCACATCCCATGTAAGTACCCTAACCACTGGGCTAATGGTTATAAGGGAAGTCCTTCTCCTCCACGTCCCTTCCCTGTTGTTTTGTGTGGAGTTGGTGGCCTCTGAGTACACCTAGTGGATTGGGCCCTTCCTGTTAGTTAGGTGGAGTAGTGCCTATCTTCCCCTGGTTCGTGTATCACTAGCAGAGCTAGGTGCCTCCCTGCAGCCTGGGTTTAGGCACCTATCTCTGTGAGGGGGCGAGGCTTAATACCCATCCATTTTATCAGCCTCTCCTATTAGCTAGATTAGGTGGCTTTGTGTGTTGCATTCTAAGCTGCCTATCTCTCCCCATTCATTGAATAGGAGCCGAGGTGCCTAACTCAGCTTTGTGGGTTGTAGTGTTGTTCCTGTGATTTTTCTAGGCACCTAACAGTTAGGTATTGTGATGCTCAGTGTCACAGTTCCTACGTCGCTTTGTGGATCTGGGCCTGGCAGCCTGCAGAGCTATTCTCTTGGCTGACCTAGGCAGCTGGATCAGGTGGATCCTGTTAGCTCTAACCCAGGACATAAAAAAGGTTGAACCTCTGTATGAGGCGCAGGCAGCAGCAAATCCAGAAATAGCCGAGCTCAAGTACATGTCCTGATAGAAAGTTTATTTAAAGAGGTACCATTGCCTTATAAATCACATTCCACCCCCCCCCCCATGCCCCTCGTTATTATTACATGGAACACCTGAGAATGCTATAACTGAACATGCCTAGGGAGGGGACTTTTTTACATATTCTTCCATTTGCTTGCTTTGTGCAACTTATTTTTCGTATAGACAAACTTCGCTATTTCTCCTGTATAGTCACTATCCCCTGCTGTATGTATGACTCTTTCCCGCCACAATAGGGGAGAGAAACATTTTTTGAAACAGGATACTTTGATTCTAACCGAATCAATTGGCAGAGGGACTCATGGGCAGGGGTAGCACCTGAAACTACTTTTAGCTAGTTTTTTAATTGACTAATATTTCAACCTGGTGGTGCCCCCTTAAGTTAACAGTAAAGGAAACCCCAGGAAAGGGTAATTTGGATGCCATCCAGTTGTTTGTGTGCTGGGTTAAGAACAGGGCACTTCAACAGGGCTGCTTTCAACTACCTGAAGGGGGGGGTTCCAAAGAGGATGGATCTAGACCTCTTTTCAGTGGTACCAGATGACAGAACAAGGAGTAATGGTCTCAAGTTGCAGTTGGAGAGGTTTAGGTTGGATGTTAGGAAAAACTTTTTCACTAGAAGGGTGATGAAGCACTGGAATGCGTTATCTAGGGAGGTGGTGGAATCTCCTTCCTTTGAGGTTTTTAAGGTCAGGCTTGGCAAAGCCCTGGCTGGGATGATTTAGTTGGGGATTGGTCCTGCTTTGAGAGCGGGTTGGACTAGATGACCTCCTGAGGTCCCTTCCAACCCTGATACTCTGATTCTTACAGGCCAATCCTACTGTTCTCATTCAGGCAAAAATACAAGGATTGGGCTCAAAGTGTGTGCTCCTTCAAGCTGATTCATGAAGGCAGGTCCCTGCACCTATATGGAGTCCCATTGACTTCAGTGGGGATGAGCAACTATAAGAGGCTGCCCATATTGACCCTACTGAAATCAGTGTGGCTCTGCCGGTCTGAGTGGAACAGCACTCAACATCTGAGCCAAAGATCATAATGTTGGTGGCACATCTGTATTTAATTCCCAGAGATGCCTTGTCTGGTGAGAACCCCCTCCCACCATACAGTCAGTAGTTTCCAGAGAGTGAATCTTTCTGTTAATCCTTTTGAAGACGCTTACTCATTCTTGTATTCCAGCGTCTGTTTCCTGCAGAGCATCCTCAATAGGTGGTCAGGGTTTGCCAATAAAGAAGGCTGCACTGGATGAGAATATTTTATAGACACACCTGATGTTGTCATTGAGGATTACAAGGGTGAATAAAAGCAGGAAGGAGTGAGATTTTCATGAAGGTCACTCACACTATCATGAGCTCTAGCTCACGAAAGCTTATGCTCAAATAAATTTGTTAGTCTCTAAGGTACCACAAGTCCTCCTGTTCTTTTTACAGTCAAGACAGAATACTCAATCATAGTGTCATGCATAAGGAATGAAAAGAAGACTAGGTTTAAGTAGAACAGAACCAAAAAAGCCTCAAAGATGCACACTGCATCACAGTGTTTTAAAGGAAGGAGTAGTTGAAGAATTGTTGTTTGTATGTCCACTGTAGTCTGCAACAGCAGCAGGAAGAGAACAAACATACTACCAGAGTCGACACTTTGGAGACAAATTCAGTGAAGATTGGCAGCCTGCTCCTGTTAAACAAGGTGAGTTAAACTTTAAAGTAATTATACTTCTCAAAGGGTATGTCTGCACTGCTGCTGCGTTGTTGTTTTTTGTTTGTTTGTTTGTTTTTGAGAGTATCACAGGCTGGGTCAACTGACTCAGGATTATGGAGCTTGCTCTACAGGGCTAAAAATGGCAGTGTAGATGTTCCTGCCAGGGCTGGAGCCTGGGCTCTGAAATCTGGCAAGTGGGGAGGATTTCAGAGCCTGGACTCCATCCCGAGCAGGAACTGTCGATACTGCTGTCTTTAATCCCACAGTGCAAGCCCGTGAGCCCAAGTCAGTTGACACAGGCTCTGAAACTCACTGAGGTGTTTTGTTTTATTTTTTAGTGTAGACATTATGTAGGCCCCAATCATAGAGTTTGACTTGATTGGGTGGATTGGGGCCATAAGGTGAAAGTCTGATACATGGAAATCTTGCAGCAAGACACTATAGTTAATTGATAGTTTCTCTCCTCCCTTAAAGTGAATTTTAGTGTCAGTGTTTGTGACAGGGGTATTGGATAAACAGCTCTGGGAACTGAAATCCAATGTATATCCTGAAAAACAAACACACACACACACACACACTTGTGTGTGTGTGTTTCAGAATATACATTGGATTTCAGTTCCCAGAGCTGTTTATTTAATCAGTGATTTTGGATGCCTTAATCTTTGGCTGCCCAACTTGACACACCTTTAAGGGGCCTCATTTTCAGGAGGTGGGTGGTCAGCACTTTCTGAAAATCTGACCTTTTGAAGGTATCTCCAGTCGTGTCCTACAAATCAAATCAGGCAACCAAAATCAGTAGTTACTTCTGACAATGTAGGTGTGTGTGTGTGTGTGTGTTATACCCAGGGTACACTCTGGACTGGTGAATAGCTGTGACACCCATGCTTTCTAACCTTTACACTACTTTGCTGTTGCCTCCACTCCTGGACTGCTCACAAACAGCCAGCCTCCACCCTAAACCCCGCTTTGCATCCAGCATTTATAATGGTGTTAGATATATAAAAAAGTGTTTTTAATTTATAAGGGGGGTCGCACTCAGAGGCTAGCTATGTGAAAGGGGTCACCAGTAAAAAAGCTTGAGAACCACTGCTCTAGCATGTAAGTCACTCCCAGCTATGTCTGTGTGCACTTGCAACCTACTGGTCACAGGCTTTCACTAACCTGATTTACACTGGAAGGTGACCACAGCACACCTCTGGTCCCAGACTTTTCCCCAGAACTGTACATCTTCTACTGCTCACTCCTCTCCTGGACAATACAAGCTAATATAAAGTCTGCTATTTTATTAATAGAAATGATATACACATATCCTGTTATCTCAAATGGAGTTTCCCAAACACTTTAATTCAAACACACTGGTCTATATAAAACAATAAAACAAGTTTATTAACTACAAAGATATAGGATTTTAAGTGAATTCAAGTAATGAGGCATAAAATGGTTACAAGAGAAATAAAGATAAAATGCCTAACTTAACAAACTATGTTATATTCAAAGCAAAGTTTCTGTCATCACATGCTCTCAGTAGTCTTGCTGGCCAAATTTCTAGACCAGGGCTCTCATCTTCTGTGTAATGGCTGCTTCCTTTGTTCCTTCACAGTCAATCAATGGACAGAGAGTAAGAGAGGAGGAGGAGGGGTGTCATTTTTATAGTCAGTCCCCCTCTTAGAAATGTTTCCAGCTGAGAGTCAGGAGACAAAAACTCTAAGGGTATTATATCTCCTGCTGGTTTTCCCACCCGTTGGAACTCCCTTTGTTTTCCGCTTAAATGCAGATTAAGCAGAGCACACATTCTTTTGTTTTAGACAGACCTGTTTGCCATTTTCTGTTTGGGCAGGGCTGTGGTTTGGAACATGGAACTGTACAGTGGAATTTTATAACTTTATGTACAATGTTGTTCAGGACAATTATTGGCCAGTAAATTATGAGTTTTTAAATTATACCTTACAAGGCATACTTTGTACAAAGATTATTACAATAATGGTCAAAGGGTGAATATAGGGGTACAGACCATCACAGTGTCTGTGCTTGCACATATGTGCATATATGAGCTGAGTTGAGCAAATTATATGTAACAAATAATTGATTTCTAAAATTTTCCTGTTTTGCTTTTTGTGAATGTCATGAACAAATCATAATATTCTGAAATATATTCATTATTCAGAATTTTTATGCACGTCTTCATGAAATTTTCCCCTCATTTGACTAGTTTGCAGTATTGTTTCAGATATTTGATATTTAAATTTCAAAACTGATGCTGTGTTGGTTGGTTCTCTGATTGCATGACATGAGTAACTAACCAATGCTGTCCCAGTTTTGAATATTCCAATCAAATACAGCCAGTAGTCAGGCTTAAAATTCACTTTCCTCCTGTATTTGTGCTAGTAAACAATAGGCAGAAAGTGAAGACAAAAGGACCATGAACGCAGTCAAATCAAAATCAGTTTTGAATTTGAATGACTATTCGAGAACGATTTTTCCAATGTGCCAAGCTCTAATAGACAGGCATGTTGTTTGTTGTTTGTCTTTTCATCTCTCTTTCCAGAGACTGTTGAGTCTGCACTTTGGTTAGTGGCACCTCCTATGTTTGTTCTAAACAATGCTGCTTTATCCTTCCAAATGCGATGTTAAAGAGAGGGAGGGGAAATAAGTCTTTTGAATTTTCCAGGGTCCTTGGACATTTACAGCGTGCCAGAAGGGAAGCCTCAGGTAACCCCAACGGGAGAGGTGCCAGCTTATGTGAACACCCAACATATAAACATGGAAGCTCTACTTGCACTTCAGGCAGATGCTGAAAGTGCATTCAGTGGAACAAAAGAGTGTACCAAAGACAGCAGTCCAAGAAAAGATCTGTTTGATATGAGTGAGTTCCCTTTTAACTCTCACCTCTAATAACAGATTTTACATAATTAGTCTTTTATTTTGGACCAATAGAATTGCCATTTATTCATTCCTAAAACGGGTTGAATTAATGAACATGATCCATATCTTTCTGAGTTTGAAATGATGGGTTCTTATAGTTTTGAAGCTAAACCAAGGTAAAAGGTGTTAACCTGCATCTACCCTAGGAAGAAGGCTGGGCTCTAACCTAGATCACACTGATCTAACCTAGACCTCTTTTCCTAATTTAGGATGTAGACTCATGGTCTTATCATAGTATGTAATTAAACATCAGGGATCTTTGTTAAATTAATACTCTGTTTTGAAAAGAGAGCAGATATCTTTGTAATATAAGTGACTATGCAGATTATGCAGTTCATTTAAAATGAATTCCTCCTAACTAACTGGCCAGACAATAAGAGAGATCTGGTCCTGTCCAGAACATACAAATACCAGCTACCTACAAATATATGACCATTAGCAATTACTCCAAAAATGTCAAAATTGTCTCTGATTTTAATATATTTGTTTACAAACAACGTTCTCTAAGTTCTTAATATATTATATAAACTAGTAATACACCATACTGTGTTTGTTCTTCTTAAGGATAAATGGAAGTGGCTATTACAAGAAAATAAACCAGGGTTAAAAAGACTGGAATTGTATTTTTTTGTAATGCAGTTTACCTGTGACTGATCTTGCACTTGTTTCTGTACCTGTAACCAGAACCTTTTGAAGATGCTCTCAAGAACCAGGCCACTGGGCCTGCGCTGAATAAGGCTACCTCGGTCGAGTGTACTAGTCCTCCGTTACCCAGAGCAGCTAACTGCGCTATAATGGATGAACTGCATACAGAGCCTTGGTATCAAGGAGAGATGAGTAGGAAAGAAGCAGAACAGCTGTTAAAGAAATGTGGAGACTTCCTGGTCAGGAAAAGCACCACAAATCCAGGCTCCTATGTGCTGACTGGTATGCACAATAGACAAGCCAAACATCTTCTTTTAGTGGATCCGGAAGGAACTGTAAGTATTGACTCCTGGATGACAGTAAAAAAGTGTCCGACTCTATATATTTTCTGTAAGCCAGAAAATGAACCCTATTTATAACACTTATTTGTTATTACAGGCATTTGTAAGGTTCCCATCACCTAACTTAAATCTCAACTCACGACGCTTAGCTGAAGAACGGCTGCAGCATTTCTACATGGATAGGTAGCTCTGACACCACTTCCTCTAGTCTAGTCCTCAGTGCAGTACAGGGGCAGTCAAAGGTATTAAGTTACTTTTGTGGCCCCCAGATCCCTTGGCTGTCTGGGGAGCAGTCTGGTCCCTTGCATTAGTTAGAACAGCCTTTGCACTGCTCTTATTTCCACCCAGCTGCCTGAGGCCCCAATCAGTTGTTCTGATAAAAGTGATCTCCAGAGAGTAGGGGCATGACTTCCTTCTCTGGGACTAGGTTCTGACTCAGGCTTGGGAGAGAAATGGCATACTCTGTCTCTCTGCGACCTGAGGATTCCCTTAGCAGGTTAAATTGGCTTTCTAGCAGCAGAGCAATATAAAGTAGCCAGAGCTGGGTATGAAAACTGGTCCTTGGTATTTTTGTAGCTGCCCATCACTGAAAAAGTAAGCAGATGACACAAAAATAGGGGGAGTGGAAAATAATGAAGAGGACAGGTCATTGATTCAGAGATCTGGATCACTTGGTAAACTGGGTGCAAGGAAATAATATGTTTTAATACAGCTAAACTTAAATCTATATCTATATCTATCTAGGAACAAAGAATGAAGGCCATACCTACAAAATGGGGGACTATATTCTGGGAAGCAGTGACTCTGAAAAAGATTTCGGGGTTGTGGTGGATAATCAACTGAACATGAACTCCTAATGTAATGCTAGGGGCAAAAGATCTAATGCTATCGTTGGATGCATAAACCAGGGAATCTCAAAAAGGAGTAGAAAGGTTATATTTGGCACTGGTGCGACTGCTGCTGGAATACTGTGTCCAGTTCTGCTGTCCACAATTCAAGAAGGATGTTGGTAAATTAGAGAGGGTTCAGCGAACAGATTCAAGAATGATTAAAGGATTAGAAAACATGCCTTACAATGATAGACTTAAGGAGCAAAATCTATTTAGCTTAACAAAAAGACAGTTAAGGGGTGACATGGGTGCAGGCTATAACTCTCTTCATGGAGAGCAAATATTTAATAATGAGTTCCTCAGTCCGGCAGAGAAAAATATAACATGATCCAGTGTCTGGAAGTTGAAGCTAGCCAAATTCACTGGGAAGTAAGGTGCACATTTTTAACAGGTGAGAGTTATTAACCAATGGAACAATTTACCAAAGGTCATGGTGGATTCTCCATCACTGACCATTTTTAAATCAAGATTGGATGTTTTTCTAAAAAATCTGCTCTAGGAATTATTTTGGGGAAGTTCTCTGGCCTGTGTTCCACAGGAGGTCAGACAGATGATCACAATGGTCCTTTCTGGCTTTGGAATCTATGCATCTGTGAGTTTGTGAAGGGGCTCCACCTGATATGGGAGGGTGGAAAGCAACATATTTCAGTTCCCTGTTCTGAGTGGCTTACCCGTCTGGCACTTAATACAATACTTTCTATTCCTGTGTAAAATGCTAGTTTAAATAATAAGAATCAGAGCAACAGGTTCCTGACAAAATAGTGTATATGGTATACATACAGAAGGACCAATCCTACTGGGCCTTACTTCTACTGACTTCAACAGAGAAACTTGCATAAGGCCAGCAGGGTTTGATTCACAAAAGCTTTGACTAGAGAAGGCTGCTGTACGTGCTGTCATTGTATTTGCCACAGGAGGGCAGTCAAAGAATATTATTAAGATGTTTTCCATTATAACTGGATTACTCCTGAGGTTACATGTGCTTGTGTCAGCCTCGACAAGCCAGCGGAAATGAGTGCTGAATCTCTGAGATATGAACCTCTTTGACTCACTGACTGAAAGTTTACCAGTGTTTTGTGACTCCTGCAGAAGGGCCTTTTGGTTTATCATACAAATAGCTACCTTTCGAGTGGGATGCCATGAGGATTAAGTAGTAGGGTCCTATCATACCTTTAATGCACAAGCCTGCAATATGGCTGGTGCAGAGACGCAGTGTCCTGGTTGGAGTTCTGGTAGGCAGGGAGCATGGGGCCATTGCTACACAGGGGTGCACCACATATTCCCTTCTGTGCATGACCAGGATATTGGCCTCACATCCCTCCACTCCTTCCTCTTAAGGCAGCATGAGCCTGCTCCCCTCCCTGCATGAAGATCTCCTTGCATCACCTCTCTCACTTGAGTCCATTTGTAATACATCTCTGAGTCACAATGGCTATGCTGCTTCCTCCTTGCTCTGGGGCTGGGGGGAGTAGTAATTTACTGGTGGTCTATATGAATACTTAGCAAATTACAGCACTCACCCCCAGTCCCACCCCTGTGCTTAGTGCCAGCCAGCAAGAAGTGATGGAAGATCCAAGGATCCCTTCCCAACATACCTCCTGCAGGTGAGGAGTAGTTGAGATGTCTTACCTGGTATCTGCTACCCATTTGGGTTCAAGATCCATGTAACCTGTGCAGGGATGGAAGGAGGTTCTGATTTCTGTAACAGGGTAGCCTGCCTCTTTAAGGGCCAGGAGGGCTTGGGTCAGCCAGCTCTGTTCAGTTAGCCCCACTCCGTTGTGCTTATGCTGAGTGTGAGGTTTAAAAGGAGGAAAGCCAGTGGCTGCTTGCTGGCTGGGGAGGAGATTCCCTGAGCCAGAGATGGGTCTTTTCAAACTTGACTCCCCAAGTGGGAGGCCCTGGAATTGTTGCTTGACAGAAAGTGAGAGGCAACTGCAGAGTTGCAGGTGGTAAGAGAGTGGCAGTGAGCAGGAGGTTCCTGCAGCAGAACCTTGACCATGGGGGAGGGCTTGAGCCTAGAAGCCAGAGGCAGAGGGCTGAAGAAAGTTGAGGACCAGGGGAGTAGTAGAGGGGTTTGCCTGCTGACCTCCCAAGCTGGAGAATAGAGCGTGCTGAGAGAGTGCTGGACCCTCTCCTGGGGAAGAAAGGACTACAGATAGGAAGACTAGAAGGTTCCTTCTGGGAAGAGCAAGAGACAGACTCTAGCTAGAAGGGGCTGAAGTGGCTACTTCAGGGGTGAAAGTAACTTAAAGGACTTACTGGTATGCCTGAGTAGGGGGCGAGGCCTCAACCGGAAGGGGCGAGGCCTTTAAATCCCCGGGCCCTTTAAATCGAGATTTAAAGGGCCTGGGGCTGCAGCTGTGGTAGTGGCATCTGGGAGCCCCAGGCCCTTTAAATCATTGCCAGAGCTATCAGCTGCGAAGGCAGTTGGGAGCCCCGGGGCTCCCGGCCACTGTTGCTACCCCGGGGCTCCGACAGCGATTTAAAGGACCCGGGGCTTTGGCCGCTGCTACCACAGCAGAGCTCCAGGCCCTTTAAATCGCCGATGGAGCCCCCGGGGGGGTCCTGGCTGCCAGGGGCTCCAGCAGCGGGGCTCGGGACACCTTACTTTGGGATTAACCTCATTTAAATCAATGAGACTTCTCATGTGGTGATAGACAACTTGGGGTCTACTCAGAATGCAGTTGGTCAGAAAAATGTTTTTTTTGGTTGACAAACACCAAAATATTTCATTAATATTGCCTACATTTTCAGCAGACATGTTTAACTTTTTGATGAAAAACCAAACCCCAAATATTTTTCAGATTTTTGGCAACAACAAATGAAAAAATTTGGGCCAAAAATTGCCTATCCCCAGGAGGTTTGGATTTTGTTTGAAATGTTTTGGTTTCAATTTTTCAACAAAAAATTGAAAATGTTTGCAGAGAGCAGACACTATCTCCAAACTGTTTAATTTGATCAGAAGGTCAATGTTGTAAGTTGTGATGGAAAATCTTCAACAAGGCCTATTCAGAGTGAGTAAATGTGACCAATAAGAGAGCAGACAAAACAGAAGTTTGGAGAGAAGTGAGGGAGCAGGAGACAAAACAACTAATTTGTAGATGGAAAAACCTCCATTGACTCTAATGGGAGGAGGCTCAGACCCTTAAAAATGTGTGTGTGTGTGTGTGTGTGTGCGCGCGAGTGCGCGTGTAAACAGATATAAAAGGAAAATATTTTGTCTTATTTTCAGTTAACTTTCATTTAATGGTAAAGGAAAGATTGGTCTGTACTTAGCCTTTACTTTTCCATGCTCTTCTTTTAAGGTTCGTACAAAGGATCGTGTATTTGACAGCATAAGCCATCTCATCAACCATCATCTTGAGAACAATTTGCCAATAGTTTCTGCTGGAAGTGAACTCTGCCTCCAGCAGCCAGCTGAGAGGAAACAGTGACCCATGGTGACATGTTCAGCATTTGTAAGCTATAACCACTGCAGTGGACACTGCAAACCTGGAAACATGTACATTAAAAAATACACCTATCTATCTATCTATCTATCTATCTATCTATCTATCTATCTATCTATCTATCTATCTATCTATCTATCTATCACCAATATGTTTTCTTGAGCTTTAAAAAGCCCCATCCCATACAGTACCATTTGAAATTTCTTACTGCTATATGCAGACATGAAGTCTGATTAAAAACACAGACAGATTTCTTAAAATATAATTTCAATAAAATTATTCTGATTCTGTAATGTGAATATTGACACTGTATATACATACATTATATATAAATACAGTAATATATTTATATTTTTCAAGTCAGTCTGTTGAAGGTATGGAACTAATGTTCTGTGCCATGTGTTTTTAACTGAAAAAGATGCCCATTGTGATTGTTCAGATAAAAATAGAATTCAACAGTCTCATTTCCTTGAGAATACAATATTAGAAGTCTTATTTGTAGTTTTATCTAATAAGCACAATTATGGTGAGAACACAGGCGGATTACATTGGTTAAATACCAGTCGAGGGGATTAAATAGTATTCTAACATAGGAAATTTAGCTTGAAACAATTTTTAAAAGCATTATTCAGTGTCACTGAGTTCAAAAGCATTTTCTCTTTCTGATGTCCAGTTTGAATTCTTATATGATGCTACTCAAGATATTTGTAACTTGCTTTGACAATGATTTGGTGTGATCTCTGTGTACAAGGTGTATGCATTTGATTTTTCTAACCATAATATTATTGAACTAATATTCTGCAGCTTTGATTTATTAAATTCAACACTAAGATTATTTACAAATAGTTCACTTCTTGTGCTAAAGAATTAATTGTTTTTGACTGCCAGTCACCAATGAGATGTCATACATTGACTAAAAGGGTTCAAACTGGTTGCTTTTTTTAATATATTTGGTGCAAGATGCTTTGGTCAAAGACATGGCTGAAAAAAAATTTTTCTCATAGAACAATGACAAAAATGAATACCTAGAATGTTAGTCCATTTAAATGATCTAACTTGGATTCACTTAGTTTTTGTGTGTCTCTCCCTAAGGTACAGCTTCAAGTTAACCTTTAGCAAGTGATTGTTTTTATAGATGTATTGGTTGTCTCTAATGAGCAGTGTGGAAAAAACTGATATACATTAAGTTGCTTTTTAGCAGGTATTTCATTAACATTTGGTATTGGGGCGTGTACATTGAAAAGTGCATTCTGTCCAACACACACACACTTCATTAATTTGCCTTTCTTTTGGAATGGACTTTGTCTTTCAGTTATACATATCTAACTGAGGGCCAAATTCAGCTCTCTGTTAATGGATGCAACTCCCATAGACTTCAGTGAAGGTTGCACTGCTGTAACTGAGAGCAAAATTTAAACTTCAGTATTTCTAAGTCAGAAATTCAAACCAAGTTTCAGGATTTGATTAATAAAGGCCCTGATTAAGGAAGGTACTTACACGTATGTCTACCCTCAAGTATATTAGTTCAGTTGAAGTCAATAGGACCTGTCATGTCCTTAAAGTTAGACATGTGCCTAAGTATTTTGCTGAAATGGGGCCAAGTTGACTTCAGGATTTGCTTTAGAATCCATTCCTAGGATGGCAGTTTTAAAACTCCCAAATAATGTCCTCCTTGTGCCATGGACTACGCAAAGGACATTACTTTGCAAGTTTGTTTAGGATTAATCTCTAATTTCGAAAAGGAATCCCACAGCTGGTTTAGAGCTCACTACCTGAAAAGAGCTATCAGAGGAAGAACTGACTTTCAAAGATTTTTGAGAATTTAAAATTACATTTTCACCTCTAATCTCCCCATCTCAGCATGTTTCACTTCCCAATGCATTCCCACAACTAGCCCCTATTTCCCTGTCTACCAGAGGTGAAAGTAAGCCTGTACGGTCCAGTATGACATACTGGCAAGAGCCAGTACGCCGTGCCGGACTGGACCGGCTTCACCAGGCTGGCGCTTTAAAGGGCCCAGGGCTCCCCGCAGTGGCTGGAGCCCCGGGCCCTTTAGAGCACCGCCCAAACCCTGCTGCTGGAGCCCCAGGGTAGCAGCAGCAGGGCTCCAGTGGTGATTTAAAGGGCCCGGAGCTCTGCTGCGGTAGTGGTGGCCGGAGCCCGGGGCCCTTTAAATCGCCCCTGAGCCCTGGGGCTCCCAGCTGCTTCTGCAGCTGGGAGCTCCGGGGGTGATTTAAAGGCCTGGGGGCTTCCAGCCGCAGCTGGAGCCCTGGGGCCTTTAAATCTTGATTTAAAGGGCCCGGGTATTTAAAGGCCCTGCCTCTTCCGGTTGAGGCCATGCCTCTTCCAGTTGAGGCCATGCCCCCCTGCTCAGGAATCCGGAGTACCGGTAAGTCCTTTTAGTTACTTTCACCCATGCTGTCTACCTGAAACTTCCCAGCCTATGTTGATCCCTTCCTGGAACTCTTTCAGCCATTCAAGACGCACCCTAGCTGGTGTCTCACACTAAGTTACTCATCTGGCTTCTCTCTTGGATCCCCACTAATCACTTCCTGACACATCTTTACATCTAGGCTGCAGAGGCTGATTATCACAAGCACTTCCCCGTGCAGCTGTTGTTGCAGCTTCTCTGCATCAGACCACACCCAAATTTTCTTTCCTCACCCCTTCCTTATCTGTGGGAGGAATCAGTTCTTCTTTATGCCTCGTAGTAGGCAGGGAATTATGGCAGCATCTTTTCCTTCTCCTCCTTGCTGTGATGATATAGCTGTTTGCTTCAGTTCCCATCTCCTCTGCACAGAACAGTAGGTTTGGGTGAGAGCAGAGAGCACAGGAAAGGAGTCAGATGCATCAGAACACTCCCCACTGGCATGGATGGAGATCTTCAGCTTAGGTCTGCCCTATTCCATGCAGGAACACGGAATGCTGAAATATGGAGGTACTTAAGTAGCACCCTATCTGGTAGCCGTGACCATGATTTTAGGAAAGAAAAGTCTTGTTTTGCTTTTTCTGTGATTATACTGTGCAAAGTGACTCTGTAAAATTTGCATCTTGTGGTTAGGGCTAAATTAAGGCAATCCAAGGCCCCACGCACACACCCTCCAATGGGTTCCCTCTTTGGGGTAGCAGCAAGTGTCAGAGTGAAGACGTATGGAACAAGCACATCTCTGAGAGTTATTGTTTCAGGCTCTGTATAGACTCAGACAGGCACTGGTTACCTTTGGGTCACAATTTCAAGCTTTTCTTAGCGTTCATGAGGGCTATTTTTAAAATCAAATGAAAGCTGAGATTCTGACTTCCTTGTGTCACTCTAAGAGGTGGGACATGACCCTGATAGTACCTATGCTTTAATCTGGCACAGCCTGTGGTTCTATTTTTATCATCTTTCAATAATTCCATATCACATTTATGAGTTCATTTGTAAAACAATGTTGTCTCTAATTTGTGGCCCTGAAATCTCTAACTGAGATTGAAAGTCAAACTGGATTCTTTCTGGTCTGCGCATCACCGTGCATAGGAAAGATTCAACAGTGAGAATGGTTGAAACTTTCTCGATGAAAATTCTCCTGTCAGAAAATGTGGTTTTGTCTAAATTTCTGCAGAAAAATGTAGATTTAGACAGTTTTTTTGAATTTATGATTGGAGGAATCAAAGGGAAAAAAATTCACTTTGAGTTGACGTGTCAGAATGAAATGTTGGTTTGAAACTAAAAATGCCATTTCAAATGTTGATTTGTTTCATTTATATTAAAGTGTCGAAATTCTCTGTTTCAACATTTCCAATTCAAATCTTTTCAAAAATTTTTGTTCCATGACACTTTTTGCTATTTTGACTTTCCGTTTGATGCAGAATGGAAACTTATTGTGAAATGTCAAAATTTCCTGAGGGATTTAGTTAGAATTTAGCTAGCAATTCTGTTTGGCTTATTCTGCTATAACAGAGTGTAACTAACTATCAAAACTAAAGTTGTTTGTACACAATTTGAAAGGAAAAACATGGACCCCAATCCTGCAAACTTTTAGGGCAGGTCTACAATACCACTTAAGTCAGCGGTTCCCAAACTGCAGGTCGGGACCCCAAAGTGGGTTGTCATTCCCTTTGAATGGGATCGCCGGGCTGGCTTAGACTTGCTGAAGCCCAAGCCCCACTGCCCAGGGCTAAAGCCAAAGCCCTAGGACTTCAGTCCTGGGCAGCAGAGTTCAGGTTGCAGCCCCCCCCCCCCTCCACCAGGGCGGTGGGGCTTGTTTGGGCTCAGGCTTTGGTCCTGGGGTCGTGAGTAATTTCTGTTGTCAGAAGGGTGCAATGAAGATTGAGAACCCCTGGCTTAAGTTGATCTAATTTACATCGCTCAGGGGTGTGAAAAAGCCCTCTCACCCCCAAGCGATGCAAGTTTTGCACTGTCCACACCAGCACTATGTCAGTGGGAGATGCTCTCCTGCCGACATAGCTTCTTGCCGAGGTGCAGTAATTATGCTGACAGGAGAGCGCTCTACTGTCAGCATAGTGCATCTTCACCAGACACACTACAGCATCAGTGCAGCCGCACTGATGTAGCACTGTAGTGTAGACTTGCCCTTAGTTATGTCAGTAGCACACAGGAGATAATGCATGGAGACTACTTGCATAAACGAACACTAATCATCTGAGTAAATGTTTGAAGTTCAGATTTCTAGTTTATTTAGCTTTTTTAAAAACAGTCTTTTCCCTCAAAACAACTGAATAGCAATCCATTTTTACATGTTTGTTTATTATTACTACAGCTGGGACACTAAAAGATTTTTACACATTTATTTCACTTTATTTAAAATGCACCGGTGTCTCAACATTTCCTTCTTTAGGTCTTAAGGACTTTGCATGAAACCGCAACACTTTGCACTTGGTACTTTGCACAAGTGTAAGATGATTGCAAAAGTTGTAAGGCTAAGGAGAATCAGGCCCCACCTACTTCCAGCCATCTCACAGGAGACTTTTAGCGTGCTACAACACAGGGAGAAGAGTGGCTTCTGTGGTACTTAAAAGCATACATGATTGCAGAGCTAGGCACCTGCTTAGGTGATTTTGAAAATCCCATTAGGTGTCTATCTGCATCCTTAGCTACCTAAATACCTTTGGAAATTTGGCCCACAGAATAAAGTGACAGGAGATGGTGCATGAATGAAAGCATTTTAAACGTATTAAAATAAACTTGTAAAAGAATCTTTTGCATTGTCCCAGTTGTAGTCTTCATAAACTGGCAATCAATCAGCTGTATGTAACAGACCCTTTTCCTAACTTACCGTTTTTTAGATCAAATGGGTACAGTGAAAACATGAGAGATTTGCAGGAATATTGTAACCATGTAATTGTAATTGCACACGAACACAACCTTTACTTTATTTTCTGAAATTGTAAATAGGCCCTCTGAAAGCTTTAACACATGCTTTGAAAATCAGCCTTCAGATAGGTGGCAAGGAGACACAGAATGATGGGGTGCTTTTACTGAATTCTCAAGAATATGTTTCATGGGCTACATCTTCCACTATAATTAAGCTACTTTGAGCAGCTTTAGTGGCATGAAGAAGCTGGAAACTTGGCAAATCTGCCCAGCTCACAATTTCCCTTGGTGAGGTAGTACTGGGGTAGGGAGAATTACTAGAGAAAAGGGGGGGCCTGAGCTATGGTGATTCCCAGCTGCTGGAATGGATCCTTGTGTGATCCATCACCTGCTCTTGTTGCTGCTCATTGGATTTGGTCCTGTATGTGAAAATAACAGAATAAGGATATAAATAGATGAATGCAGGGCCCAGTCCTGCTCTCATTAAAATCAGCGAGCAGTTTGCTCATGACTTCTGTGGAGGGAGGCACGATTAAACCTTTCATGATGGGGAGAGTTCAATCCTGTGAAGTGTTTCCAGCCCCAAACATTCAAAAATTATGAGTCAGGCCCAAAAAATCAGGATATGGGCTTAAAATTATGAGATTTTTAAAAAATCATAATTGTGGGTTTTTATTTTCTTTCTGGTGTCTCAGGCTTTAGGTTTCATGTTTTCAAGCTCCCCCTCCCCTCTAAAAAGTCTACTTTTTAGAATGAAAGATGAGATTAGCACATCATCCCATGATTCAAGGAGCTGGGATTTTACAAAAACAAAAACAAACAAAAGAGAGCCAAATTTGTGAGACACATGATAAAACCATGAGTATTGCAACACTGGAGTGTCCTCAGTTTCTTCCTAAGGGGTAGTTGAGGATGTTCAGAACTATGTAGGAAGCTACGGGTACCTTGCAGTAACAGGCCTATTGTCTAGACGCATTCCAAATTATGTGTGAGGACAGCTAGAATCTGCCCATCAGTTTGGTTTTCATTTATGTTACAATTGTGCGAACCATGTGCAATAGACATGCCTTAGGGCCACGTTACTAACTCTTAAGTAAACCAAACGTTTCACATTAATTTTACTGTAGGTGTGCAAGAGTCGTTATTTGGTTGAAATCAATGCAAAATTTTCAGTGAAGTTGCCCTTATTAGTTCTGGCAGCTGAATTTCAGCCTTGTTTCCGAAGTTTCAATCAGACATTTTGGTTGCTGCAGAAATTTCAATCATGTAGATGGCACAAAGAAAAAAATACCATTAGCTCCTGACTTCAATGGGTGTTCTGCCCAAAAAAGTACTCCTGTGCTCATCTTCAATAATGCAAGCATGGGAGAGCTAGGCTGGCCATATCTGGGTGGAGAGCACAGAGGGAGACCCAGCTTCCACGGCATTCTGTCTCCTTGCCTGGGGAAGACCCTCAGCAGAGCTGAAACTTTGTAGGTCAGGTGATGGTGTGTGGCACAGGAGAGGGCGGAGACCATCAGAATTCCACAGCATGCTGTCCTGCAGACCACACAGATACCACCAATGGGAGTTAATGCTGTCCCAAGCAGCACTAACTTCTACGGCATCTGTCCTAGGGTTTGTGTTAAGGAGCTGCATGGGAAACAGCCAATGGTGCCATTTTTCCTGGGATGGCTGAGCCAAAGCCCATTGAAATCAATGGAATCAGCCTGTAGGTTTGTAGGCCCATGACTTTTGCCTCTTCTACAGCCCCCAGACCTTTCCTCTCTGAGGAGAGTATTAGAAGGAAACTCCATAAGTGTCCTATCAGGGGGTTGCGTGGCCCTCTCATATAGGTTTTCTATGGGAGATTGCAATTTAGGACTGAACAAGGGCTACAAGGTATGAATAGAAAATAAAGCAGTGCACGAAGAAGATGTAGGTATGTACTAGAAATCTGGCAGGTATCACCTGCCAGTTTTATATGTTCTGTGTCTGGGGTTTATTATTTATTCCCCTCATGGAATGGTAGTCTCCTATTTCTTAGCATGATAGTCTCCAGGTTCCCTGCTATGCAGTTAGGAGAGGAGAATTAATAAATATTTATACCCTTGTACAATTATTGCTGGCAGACAAAATGCCAGATGCTAGCTTCAATTTATTCGTAATGGAATTTATACATATTTATATATTTGTAAGTAATAAATGCCCCATTTTAAAGCTGGCACATTTTTGCAGCGTCCAGGCAATTTGCAGCTTTATATCAGGACTTTGCAACTTGTGACTGTTTAATAACATTTAGTTACAAATCCATGTTCCAAACTTTTGTCCAGGGCATCAAGGCAGAGACCCTCAAAGGTATTTAGCTGTCCAACTAGTTACACACTTAAATACCTTTAAGGATCTGGACTCCACTGTCTACTTGATGCAGCGAATAGAACCAAATATGTACAGTAAGTGTAAATATATATAAACAATGCTGTACACTAAGGTGGAATTTTCAAACATGTGCAGCCTTCACCCAACTCTGCTGTCACTAAAGTCAAACTCCCATTGATTTTACTGGGAGCAGAGTTAGGCCAATGCTCAATGCTTTTGAAAATCCCACACCAGGAATACGAAATAAAAGAGCTCACCTCAAACACTTACCAACAATATTGAGTTTTTACTTCACATATTTTTCCAGTTAGAGTTTTGTGAAGGTTACTTACCTTGCTGCTGATCAAAGTAGGGGGAACTGTTCACTAAATCATATATTTGACTCTCACACTTGTGATACCTCAAAATTAAGAAATACAATGGCTAAATTTGAAATGTGTTCATGCCTAACATGAAGATCTATTCTACAACTTTCTCCCCCAGTTCCTCCTCTATCTTCAGTGAGGTTATAAAAAAAAACAACACCCAGGAAAAATTTCATTATAAACCAATGAAAATGCATTATAAACTAACAAAAAATAATGAATATAGTTGGTATGGGAAATAGATTTTTTTCCCGTGTGACTAGATTTGTGTAGTAATGTCTTCTGTTCCAAGTGAAGTTCTCTAGTCCAAACATAACTTAAAGCCTGGCACAAGCTGAGTTTTTTTGGAAGATGAATATGTTCCTTTCAGTCATGAATTTTTTTAAAAAAAACTTACTGCAGTAATTTTTTTTTTTCAAAAGTACATTCAAAATTTATTACTTTTTAGAAACATTTTTGATTGAGAATTGTACAAACTGGTCTCTCTGTAAAGATGAGTGGTGTGTGGAAATACTGTGGTTGTTTATTGTCCCTGGAACTTTTGTGAGTTCAAAATGAAATCTATTATGAAATGTTCTACTATGTCCCAAGATTTTTGCTAGTCCACTGCTAGTGTCCACTTTGTTTTTAGAGCTGAATCGACTCTTAGGAAATCCTTCAGCCACGGAATTTAGTCACTTAGCCCATTTTTGATTTTCCAGCTTGTGCAGGAAGTAATGAACTCACCACTACTTTTATCAGATCTAAGGACTTGTCTACATGGCACAACAAAGCACCCTAGAGAGGAACAGCAAATAGTGGAGTGCTGTAACATGTGGCGCTCTAACTGCCCCATGTAGACTCTTCTGGCATGAACTAAAAGGTAGCTGATTAACTAGGTGCCTTTCAGTTTGTGCCAGCACAACCTATATGGGGTAGTAAGAGCACAGACGATTAGACCACTCTACAAATCACACCCCTCTGGAGAACTTGGCCACGGCATACAGACAAACTCTAAATGTAGGCAGTGGGCCTGATTCTTATCCCCCTTCCACTCACTAGTTTAACTCATTTTTTACTTCATTGAAGTCATTCCTGATTTAGAGCAGAAACAGTGAGATCAGAATCAGGCCCAGTGTGAACCATGGCCAAATTCTACAGGACTTACTTCACTGAGGAAGTGAGTGATGTCAATGAACTGCTCATGTCAGCAGAGTAGGTGGAGTTTGACCCCAATTATTTTAGATTACAACATGCTAGGGAAATAAAATGACAGTTAGGGCCAAATAATGTGTTATGAGTTGGCCGCAGTTACACTGGAGTAGTTTCATTTGCTCCAACAGAGTTATTGTTGATCTACAAGAATCCATGTGAGAACTGAAACAAACCCCATTAATAAGATTTTGCCAGTTACCATTTTCATAACACAGATAATTGCTGCTATATGTCCTGATTCTGGGCCAGATAATATCCTGGTCTGTGTGCCGAGATTTTCCTCTCTCGTCTGCAAAAGGATGGAGTTGGTGGGTTAGCCAACTCTACAGTAACATCCTGTTCCGTCCTTGGACATGATGGACAGCACTCTGAGGGTTGGCATTCATGGAGGAGGAAGGGCACTGATTGGGTGTGCTTGTGGGGTGGGGAGTGGGCAGCCCCATGTTGGATCAGTGGGAGGCTGGGCTGATGCACATCAACCCAGCCTCCCTCTTATCCCACAGATTACTTGAGAAAGGCAGTACCTTGTATTAGCTTCCTTGTAGAATTTCCCTCTTTAAGGGGAGGTCAGAAGTAGCTGTGGCCAGGGATGCTCCTTGCTGCCATAGCCCCTAGGGAGTGTGGATGGGGAACTGGAGCTTTACAAACAGTGGAGGCAGCACTAATGTAGATGCTAGGGGAATCCTTAGGTTTGTGGGCAGGCCCCACAGCTCAGCTCATTCTGTGACTGGGCAAACGGTACTGGCAAAACTCAGAGAAAACTCTCCTTTGAGTTCTCTTCCAATTTAACCTGCTTCCATGGGGTTTACCACTGGAAAGGACTGTCCAGGCTCCTGAGAGAGGCTGAACCTACAGCTCCAGCTGAAGTCAATGGATGAAATTGTGCTCTGATTACATCAGTGTAAATCCCATGTAGTCCATTAAATTAAGTGATGCTACACCAGGTTTGCACTGGTGGAATTCAGCTCAAAGAATATGGTCCAGTGAGAGTTGATCAACCCCTCTCAGGATTTCATAGCTTTGTGGATTTTATGATAGCAGATGGAGTTGCGTGAACATTATTTGTTTTAATTTTTATTGTTATGGCAGGTGAAAATAATGAACTTTTAGGCAATGCTTCACTTCTAATTACAATTGGTTACTGGGAAATGTGCCTTTATTATGAAATAGCATAATTCTGCTTGTGTAGCAAACCCTTAGAGCATTTAACTTAATTACTAAGGATCTGAGCTTGTTCCCACTGAAATCAGAGGCCAAACTCCCTTTGACTGCAACAGAGTCAGAGCCTGTCATATTTGGTTGACATTGTATTTGTGTAGACACAGTGCTTTCAGACATGACTTTTATAATTTAACTAAGTTTTCTACACAAACACACACGCTTGTTCCATTTCTTTGAAAGGTGACTGCTACATCATAACTTTGGTTCAAAGGTTTGAGATTTAAAAAAAAGTTTTCTAAAAAGTTTAATGTATTTAATGATTTTAAAATACTGTAACGCTGTAAGACTGTTGGCAATAAAAACTCTTGTGAAAGCTCTTTTCCTTAGGTGGTTTCTTTTGTAGTCTGGAACAAAAATAAAGGCTCTGAAATAATGAGTGTGAAGCGTGTATTTCTTTTGTGTCTTTTCCTCTATGTACAACAAATCAGCTAGACTGAGGGTCTGATTCTGATCCCACATAAGTGCAACTTTTGGCCCAGTGCAGAACCAGTTATTTGGGCTGCATTCTAAGATATTCTTTGGTGTTTGTGGTGAAAGAATCAAGGATGGATACCCTCCACAGCACCTGTAGTCCCATCATCACTGTCAATCCCCTAGTTTCCCTGCCCCTCAATCCCCATTGTGTTTGCACTGCCAGGTGGGCTTTCTAAATCCAGGCTCCCCTTTCTACAGTAGAGCCATGCTGGTTCTGCAGTGGGCAGTGCTCTGAGTTCCCATGAAGAACAGAGCTAGATTTATCCATTTGTGTATAACTGCCTCATATATTGTAATATTGGCTATTGCACAGGCATGCACAAGCTGAGTAGCTAGCTTTAAAATGAGCACAGTGCTGAGCTGCAGGAAGTGAATTCGAATGATGAGTTTCCTCTCCATTGGAATCCACTGCCAGAATGAAGGGGAGAGATCAGGGTTGGGTGGAAGGTTGCCATGTCAACCCAGAACCATGAGGCCCCAAACAGTTGAATGGCTTACATAGCTTGTAAATTGGGCTAACTCAAATAGTTTCTTAGAATGGAATGGGGCATTTAAGCTCAGGCTTATGGACATGTATGTGGGCTTTGGCTATGACAGTAGAACCTCAGAGTTATGAATACTAGAGTTACAAATTGACCAGTCAACCACACACCTCATTTGGAACCTGAAGTACACAATCAGGCAGTAGCAGAGCCAAAAAAAAAAAAGAAGCAAATACAGTATAGTTCTGTGTTTAAATGTAAACTACTAAGAAAAATAAAGGGAAAGCAGCATTTTTCTTCTGCATGGTAAAGTTTCAAAGCTGTATTAAGTCAATGTTCAGTTGTAAACTTTTGAAAGAACAACCGTAATGTTTTGTTCAGAGTTACAAACATTTCAGACTTATTAACAATCTCCATTCCCGAGGTTTTTGTAACTGAGGTTCTACTGCACGTATTTTCATTCTTATTTCAGATCTAAGTATGGAGACACACACATACCATTCTTAACTTGAGGCATGGGGTGAGTTTCACTGCCCTGCGCTTTAAGCAAGGGGGAGCATGTCTGGCTGGCTATGAGAAGAGAGCCAATGCTTTCTGGCTTCTGGGGAGGAGGGGAGATGTAAAACTGCTGGAAAAGCAGTCCGTGTGCTGGATGACTCACCACCTAGGAATGAGGGGTTTAAAAAGGTCAGCCTGGGCCTGGACTCCCCTCATCACTCCGAACAGGCTAGGTAGCACCCATCCTCCCTCCCTATTTAGGTCAGAAATATGCCAGGTAATTAGCTATATCTGCTGTGGGCATTACGCTAGCTGCCCTGTTAAGGGGGGCTGGGAAGGAATTTTTCCCTCACCAACATAATGGCCAGGTACAGTGGGGATTTTTTGCCTTCCTCGCAGCAGGTTCAGGTGGGCTCTGTTCATGCACAGCATGATGGGCGGTAGGCCATATATCACAACTCTTTATTTAAGTGTATAGCGGATCTTCAGTTCAGGAACTCCATAATTTAAGGCACAAAAGAACGGATAAATGGCTTGGAAAAGGAATTAAGAAGAGGTGCTTGGTAACTGAGCAAGCCGGGGGCAGTTGGGGACTCCTCTGATTGGTAAAGCCGGGAGCCAACCCCCCCATCATTAGCGTCCACCTTAACCGGGGGTGGTCGGAAAGGTACCAGCAAGGGAATTGCTGGAGGGACCTGGATGAAAAGGGAAGGGGGGAGCTGGTGGAAGCTCCCCGCCCTGGAATTGGCGGTTCCCGGCAGTGGATCTGCTGGAGGGACATGAACAGAAAAGTGTGTGTGTGTGGGGGGGGGTGCTTGAAAAAAGCACTCCCCACCTGTAGCCAGACAGCCAGCCAGCCCCCCCTCTCAGACAAGCATTGCTGGGAACACAAGGGAGCCAAAACAACAGGGCACTTAACATAAATTCCAGCACAGCCTTTGAAGCTGTGAGAAGCCCAGGTGTGCTGCTCCAATGTGCCTCTGGGAACATATACAACGATTAGGCTCACAGCAGACAGAGAAGCTGTGACAGACATGGCTCTTAGCCCCTACTAAATAGCGTGATGCACACACCCCAACATCCTAGGTGGGAAAATATTTACCCTGATAAAAGGAATGTCCAGTAGTCGACACTTATTGTTTCTCTCCCTTGCAAGTGTAAACTACTCTTGCGAGAGCTGGCATCATCGCCCAGACAGACCAGCCCCAATTTGGCATAAGAAAGGAGAAAGGGAATAAAGGAGTACAGAGGTATAAGTATGGGACCTACAGCACCATGATTTTTGAGTGCTTTTCACTATCTATCTGCTGGTCAGATAAGTGACTGCCTCCCAAGGCTTCTGCAGCTAAGAGGGTCCCTAAGCCTTGTCCCTTATTCGTCTTTCCGCGGAATTGAGTGACCGATCCTGGCTTGGCACCGCTGGAATCGAGAGATGCAAGGAGGGTAAGAAGCACCCACACCTGATCTCCTATCTTTAGTGTACACATATTTTGAAATAGAGCTCTATACTTTATTTTCTTTCTTTGGGATTGTGGCTTCAGTTTTGTAACTTGTTTGTGTGTGTAACATCTCTACATTTAAGTAAGTAGGCACTAGCAATTTTGTAACCACATGATTAGAATCTAGTTTAATAAATTTTGGTAACCATTTGTGCATAAGCCTGACTTGTTTCTCTGGTTTACTGTAAAGCAGCCAACACAATTAAAGAACCTCAAAAAAAAGAACCTCGTTTTGGCTATAAAGCCTGGCCATTAGGTGAGAGTACTAAGAGCCTAGCGTTGAGTTGTGCCGCCTCCACGGGGCAAACTCTTGGGGCGCCTGTCAGTCAATCCTGACTGCCCACTGCGAAGGAGCTCTGAGCTCTAGCAGTTAAAGTCACGGGTGTGGAGAGGCTCTTAGTGCTGCCATTGGGGCACCTGTCAGTCAGTGTTGACTGCCCACTGCGAAGGAGCTCTGAGCTCTAGCAGTTAAAGTCACGGGTGTTTAGGACCTTGGGGCATCCGTCAGCCTAGCCCGGGCTGCCCGCCGCGAAGGGACAGTGCGTCCTAGCGGTTAAAGTCACGGATGGTATAAAACGGGCATAGCTGGCACCTCACCAAACATCCTTGGCCATCGGCTAACACCACCCCCCAGTGAATTGTGGGGGTTTTCTCCTGCACTGCACATTTTATCTGCTGGGTTACTCCCAGACATCTACTAATAAAGTAGCGGCCTGATTAAACCCATATCTAATGTCTCCTGTCATTCTTTCGGCCTAGCCAGACAACAGCCACACTGCTTTCCCTCACACTAATGGGAGTTGAGTTGCTCAAGCCCTTCCTGTTTACAATAGCTGAGAATGAAGCTTTTGGGCTAGGGGAAGACTGGTCATTTAAACAAATCAAACATTTAGAAGAACAGGTAACAGAAGGACTTTAGCAAACATTTTTAATGACACTCCTGTCAAGAGAGCTGTCCAAGACTGGAGAGTATAACCACACATCACTCCAAGATGTAAAGAGATAAACCATGAAACTACAATATAGCCACAGTTCAGTTTATAACAAATACACATACAAATCCTACAGCTTTGATTCACTTCATAGCCACAGTTCAGTTTCCTATGTCAGTACACTTGTTTTCTTGCCACTCTTTGCCAAGATTTTCTTTCAAGTGGCTTATAAATTGTAACTCACTGCATTGGGAAGTCTCTGTTTTATACAAGTCATTTCATATTTATTGGTATCTTCACAGTTGCTGCAAAATCAGCCTCTTTCTTTTTACAGCTGTCAGAAGACTACTGACATTTTTACACGTAGACTCTTACCTTGCACTTGACAATGAAAAGGCAAAACGGTATGTGTCGAAAGGCTTTTGCTACATACATTACAGGGTTTATGCACTGTACATATTTGGACATATTCTTTAAACACAGCTGCTTTAATTAAGAGAAAGAAAACTAAGCACCAGTTTTTGTAAGTTGTGAATTAAGAAGAGTTATGATTTTTTGAGGATTACGATACCTTACTTAGTGATTTCCCTGCCATTGCAGGGGCTTCAGGCAGTGGTGTGCCCCTTTTTTCCCTACGGCACATAATAGTCTAGTCTCCTGTGGGCTGTAATACTTTGGTCTAATTTTGGTTGTTGGATTTAATGTGTGGGTGCTAGGTGGGGTGGGGGACTGTGATATACACTGAGACTAGATGATCTGGTGGTCCCTTCTGGTCTTAAACTCTATGACTCTAATGCTTGGTTTGATTCATTGAGTTTAGGCTGGTCTTTTCAAATGGGTCCAAGGGAGTTAGGTGCTCAACTGCTATTGAAAGTCAATGAGAGCTAATTTGAGCACCTGATTCACATAGGTCCCTTTGAAAAAATCCCAGCCTTAAAGCACAACTCCTTTATACTTGTGTGTAAATTAGGCATGCTGCACTGACTTCAAGCAAGCTATGCTGCTTTAGACCAGCTGAGGCTCTGGCCCCATGTATTTATGAGCTGTTAATCACAATTGACCAGACTACCTCCTCTTGGGATAACACATTTGGAAGGGGATTGCGGGGCAGGAAAAGTCCACAAAGTCCTCACAGGGGATAGATTTGGGGTGCCAACATGGGTGCAGAGGGCCAGGTCCCCAGTGGACTCATGGGGAGCCATTCCACATCCAGAGGAACAAACTGTAATATGCCTTCTCTTGTGCAGCATGACTCCAAATGAACAGTTCTGCATCAGCTGGATCTGTCCCTAGAAGATGTTAATACAGCTCCACGCTGTACTAGCTCCTGGATGGGACTCCAGAAGTTGTGCAAGGATTTTGTCAGGGTCCATTGCCTTTTTAAAGGAAGCCTGTTTTAACTGTGGAAGAATGCCACTTTGTAGAGACTTTCACAGGTTTGACATACTGTTTGCAATATATTTAAAAATGTAAGTAAAAATACATGCATTG